CTGTCAATTTCCCGTGCGTAATACAAAATGACTGAAAAACGGCAAACTTTCGCAAGGCTATATTATCCGCATTTTACAACATTTCGCAACGAAACTTTGGAATATTACTAATTTTGTGATGCTCTTTCAAGCTGTGATGAAATTTTTGTCTAGACTTGTTTAGATCAAAATTTAGTCTATAATGCAAATGGTCCATTGATAGGGGATCCGAGGTACCTACGAGGTAACGTCCTCATCCGAGACCATTTAATGATGTCAATGTAAAGGTAGCACTTTCTCCTCAATTATTTTAAGACCTTGAGTAGAGGTCCGACCAAGGATTGAACCCTGCAGGTCTCCCAGCTTGAAAGGCAAGCGTGGTGACCACGACACCACAAACGGTTCTCGACTTGTTTGATTTTCTAATTTATTTAATTTTTTTGTCCAGAAATGATGATTCACCAACAAAACAAGAAGGAGCTGAAAAAGTAGACAAACAGGATAAAGTTCCTGCTGTAAAATTTAAGGAGAAAAAATTACCAGTAACAAAGCAAAATAGCTTGAACGATACAAACGTCACTTTTAAAAAGAGAAAAAGCAATCAAGACAAGAAACGAAGCATAAGACAAAGGACTGATAATTCATAATTACGTCAGGAACTGATTGGAAATGAAAAATCGTGCTGAAGAGGAAGCCTCTTCGGTTGCTGCAAATCAATTCCCCGCGTTAAAAATACTGATATGTATTTTATGTTTTTACTTCGTCTTAAAGCCTGTTCTCAATTTCCTTGTTCCGTTACCACTTGCATGGGCACACAAAAAGAAAATGCATCATGATACGTTACAATAACTTAATCTGAAGTTGCAAAGCGCAATTAACGTGACTCGACCTTGACATCATCCCTCTTTGATATTCCAACATGGCTACGCTCAAAATATTTTTCTTCATCTTAATTATATAGCCAAGTAAATATTCGGTAATTAACTAACGTTATATTCAAACTTGTAAGTCCTTTGGATTTTATTGTTACTTACGGTAATTTATTTCTACACAGTGAAAACAGATTGGTTAAAACAACCAATAAATTAGTTATGATTATGATTATTCAGCTCACTCCCCATTAATTGGGGCTTTTCAGTGACCAATTACATCAAGTATGAGGCTTACTTATTTCCTAGGCGTAAAAAAATACCTGTGGTTCCGGTTCCCGACCGACCCTATTTTTTTCTGCCGACCCTATTATTTTTTCAACGCGATTGACCGTGCGACCCTATTTTCTCCGGGTGGTTGCGGGCTGCTACCAAAATGGCGTCCGTTGTCACACTAATTATTGAAAAAACCATGAAAAAATATTTTTAAAAAAATTATTTCCGACCTACCGACCCTAATTTTTTCGCGATATGAAACCGGAACCGCATGTTTCTTTTTACGCCCTATACTTATCCTAGACTATTTATTTTTACTACAATTGTAATATTACTTTGTTTCCAACTATGTTTCTCCTAATCCACCCTGTCAGTTTTCCCTGTGGGAGGAAACCGAAGCACCCGCAGAAAACCCGCGAATTTTGGCAGAGCGTTGGCAGACTCTTCTCACATGAGTCCGTAGTGAGAATAGAACCCACGGTCTCAGAGGTGACGACTGCGCTACCGAAGCCCTCTTACTATGAAATATTAGAGAGTTTAAGCTTCGCGTTATACGTCAAACGGCAAACGCCAGGCAAAGAAAGATTTTACGGTACCAGGCAATAAAGAGTAAATGAACTTGCTGTTTTAAAACTGAAATACATAATTATTCTTTCGACGCAAGAAAGAAAATATGAAACGAAAACGTTCAACGAAAATTTTGCTAAGAAAGTTCGAACCTGCCGTTTGCCGTTCCCGGAAACATGAAGCTTAAACTCCCTAATCAATGAATCTGAGATAACCAATTCCTTGGTTGTTTTAACCAATTTCTTTTTACAGTGTAGATATAGTTCAGTATATATTTAATTTAAGAGGGATAGTTTGAATTTCATTGAAAATACGCGTAAGATGAAAGTAGTAATCAAAACTGGAGAGTGAGAGTGAAAAAAGTTGAGTATGCATGACGTCAGTACCGAATATGACGTCAGTACCGAGTATGATAGATAATAATACATCTGTAAAAATATATAGTTAGTTAATTACACTTGATGTGTCTGCATCTTATTAAGGATGTTTTTCAATACAGTGTATAGTCAGATTGTCTGCTTCTCTCTCACTCGTGTTTTAATGACAAAAAATGCAGTGACATAGGTTACTGACGTAATAGCTGATAAGTATGCTTTAGCACGCATGGAAATCGGCATGCGTGGAAGATTAATGTCAGAGGCAACGAAAACAACAACAATGTAGACCTATCTACTACGTAATATATAGTTTATAAATTCTTGTAACTAATTATGAAAGGTTATTTTCACACGACACCTTTTAGAGAATAAAGAATTTTTAAAAAAATTATTAATGCCGTTTAGCACATAGTTATTCTTAAACGTGACTTTCAACAATTCAGTGCAGATCATACAGAGTGTATAAAAAACACCCGGAATCTATATATCTGAACAAAAACTTGATACCACGAGCTGTTTTGCGAAATTAGATTAGAAATTTATTATCTTTCCCACAGAGGAGCTTTTCAAAGATAATTACAAAAGAAATGCAATAATTTACATAAATATAAAAATATATATATATATATATATATACAGGAATATAAGTACCTAACAAGACGCCTACTCAGGCGTTCACTCCGGGTACAGGGCCTTAACTAAGCGCAAACTACTTTAACGGAGGGCCCTGAAGGGGTAAAATGGGAACTGGGATTGATCTATTTTTAGACTGGGAAAATGGGATTTGGGTTGCTGGGACTGGGATTTGGCCACTGGGAATGGGAAATGAAGTCCTCAAAAATGGGAATGGGATTGAGGTAATGCGAGTCGATTCCCAATTTTTCTACGTTTTAAGTATTTTAAAATACACTTTTGAACCGTTTTAGGTGTCTTTGGTTATGATTTTTGTTGTTAACTATATTATTCACAGCACTACCTGCGAACAGGCA